CAAGAACTTTGATCTGAACAAATTCACTTCTGATTTGAATGCAATACCATGGTTGGAACTTGTTTACCTTGAAAATATCAATGCGAAAGTTGAATTGAACATGTCCCCTTTCGTACTGTTACTATCTGTAAACATTACTGATAATGTCAGAATGTTAATGACACGTCGACATAAATCCTACTTAAAATTAAAAAAAACTAAAAATACACATAATTTCGATTATTATAAATCTCTGAGAAATTTTACCAATACACACCTATTTGCTGGAAATGATTCTCGTAAATTTTGAGTTCTATTGAATTTGGGTGTTACTCCTATCAGATGTATCAAATGAATTGTTATTTTTAATCGAGACAGGTTAATTCCTCGGGTAATCGTGATTTGCAAGATTTCTATAACAATCATCAAATGTTGTCTGTCACTACACCTCTAAATTTTGCCTTGCCATCAGAAAAGGAGATTGCTCAGTTAATAATTTCCATTAAAACTGTTGTCCAACTAATTATTCTTTACTTATGTCACATCACATAGACAAGAAAAAGGCCATTACGGCTAACCAGATCTGCCGCAGGCTCCTAGGAAGGAACTGGGGTCTCAAACCATGAATGGCTCATTGGGCCTAAGTAGCAATAATCAGACCCATGGTCGCCTATGTCTCTATGTGAGCCTCAACTAAAGAGAGGAGCCCTAATCTGGTACACCGATGCTTCAAAGACAGTTACATCCGGAGTAGGCATGGGCATCAGTGAACCAAACAGCCACATCAAATTGCCCCTCAGCTCGGACATAACAATTTTCCAAGCAGAAGTTCTTGCTATAAACTTCTGCGCCGCTTTGAACATACAAAAGGGACAGAAAGGTGTATCCATAAACATTTTCACAGACAGTCAAAAAGGTTTTATGCCTCAGCAAAGTAGATCTAAGGTCACCTACCTTGTATACATCACCTTTTTTGTTCATTTCGATGATTGCGAGTCTCCAGCCTTTTCCGTGTTGCCTCCCGTACTACCTGGATAAGCTCTTCCAAACCGTTGATCTCTTGTATCCTCTGTTGCCAAGTGTCGAGGTTTCCCCTGTAGAATGCTACCCCTTCTTTCGATCAGTCTGTCGTGATGAACTTGCTCCCCAGTTCCGATCGCCTTCTGCCGCCCACCCCCTTTACCACCACCTCCAACGGTTGGTGATCCGACTCTACCGCTTTTCCCACTTTAAACCTTTCCACCCTCTCCCACATTTCCTGATCCACCAGTACATGATCAATCACAGATGTTCCTCTTTATTCCCATTCAGTATCTCCCATCCGTTTTCCTCCACCCATCTCAACATTTCTGTTCCTTCTCCATTCCGCACAGTATCCTTCGAGCGCCGTCGTCCCTCCTCTCCCCATATCACCACCCTTCCCCCCTCCACGCCCTCTCTAGCATTGAAATCCCCTCCCATTATTATATATCCTTCCGTCCCATCCCCTGCCATCTCATCCCATTGCTTTCTCGTCTCTTTCATTCACTTACTATACACAGTAACTATCTGCACCGCCTCTTTCTCCCAGCTGATTTGCCTTTTTACCATTCCCTTCTGCCTCCATCTCCCCTCCGTCTTACTCTCCTCCGTAATTCCTCTCGCTATTCCTGTTATAATACCCCCGCATCTCTTACTTCTCCTCTCTGCAAACACGTAAACCCATCTATACCCTTCTGGCAACTTTCCCTCAATCTTCAGATATCAACCCAGGTCTCCACCATACAAATCTCTTCAGATATTCCCAGAACTGCCCTCCCTTATTCGTAATCCTTGCTATATTCCAGAACACCATTTTCAACCCCTCGCTCTTCTCTGGCTTATCCCCTCTCCCGTCTAGTTTTTTGATAAAGTCCCTTGTTCCCCTCTCTTCATGTCGTCATAATTAATACTTCTCTTCACCAACTGTTCATATTCCAAATACGTTACCTTTAATAAATAATAAATCGTTGCATCATTCTCTAAATGGTATGAGAAGCTCTCAAAGTTTAATTTTTTACTAATGTATCACAATTAAAAAATTTGCAAGTATGCAACCAATATCACAATATTGGTATTGCAATACGCGATTTGCGTACGTGGTTGCATACTTGCAATTATGACGTGGGGTACGATAATTAATTAACACAGTGTACAGGATGGTTCAAATTCGATGTCCGAATAGGCTAACTCGAAAATAAAAAATATCGTAAAACCCGCAAATGTAATTATCTTGGTTATTATTATAGGTGGAGTATTATAACTAGGGCAAGGAACTTTTGTAACAAAACGATACGATTTCCCCCCTCCACTCGTTCTCAGCACAAAATTTCATACAAAAGTTGTTCTAAGTTAAATTCTAAAACTATTTTCTTAATAACATAATATATAAAAATAAATTATGTTCTTAATTATTGATCAAATCAAAAATTTTTATTAACAATATTTGTTTAGAATTACTTCAGGAACAGTGTTTGTTAATACAATTTTTTGCTAACTTGAAATTTTAATTTCCCTCTGAATAGTATGCTATCAAAATTAATTATCTCAACAATTATTGTTTTTATTAAAAAATGTTTTAAATAAAATTTGTTTCAATTTCGATTTTGAATTAATTATCTTAATAAAAAATTTGTACATCTCTATTAATTAACCATCTAAGTATAATTATGTATAGAAAGGGAAAAATTATTATTGTGAGGTTATCTCCTTAATTATTGATTAAATCAAAAAAAATTGTTGACAAAGTTTGTTTAGAATTGTTTCAGGAACAATTTTTGTTAACACAACTTTTTTCTAACTTGAAATTTGAATTTCCCACTGAACAGTATGCTACAAAAATCAATATTTTTGAGGTTATATCCTTATTGTTGGTTTAATCAAAAAATGTTGTTAACAAAGCTTGTTTAGAATTACTTCAGGAACAGTGTTTGTTAATACAATTTTTTGTTAACTTGAAATTTTAATTTCCCTCTGAATAGTATGCTATCAAAATTAATTATCTCAACAATTATTGTTTTTATTAAAAAATGTTTTAAATAAAATTTGTTTCAATTTCGATTTTGAATCAATTATCTTAATTAAAAATTTTTACATGTCTATTAATTAACCATCTAAGTATAATTATGTATAAAAACGGAAAAATTATTATTTTGAGGATATCTCTTTAATTATTGATTAAATCAAAAAAATTGTTGACAAAGTTTGTTTAGAATTGTTTCAGAAACAATTTTTGTTAACACATTTTTTTCTAACTTGCAATTTTAATTTCCCACTGAATAGTATGGTACAAAAATTAATATTTTTGAGGTTATATCCTTATTGTTGATTTAATCAAAAAATTTTGTTAACAAAATTTGTTTAGAATTAGTTCAGGAACAGTGTTTGCTAATAAAATTTTTTGCTAACTTGAAATTTTAATTTCCCTCTGAATAGTATGCTACAAAATTTACAGTTTCCTGTAAATTATAACTAAAAATGAAGAAAACATATTTCTGATATTTGAAACAAATATATTTGTTGAACTGTTTATCTTATATATGTTTTACACAAAAGTTGGAATAGATTGCATTATTTCACCTTTTTTATTACGATTTAATATTATTTTTAAATGACTTAATAAATTATCGATAGATGGCGCTCATGTTCTTTTTTTTTAATTCAAATAAACTTAGCAACATTTGTTTGTATTCAAAAATTTTCTGAAGTGTCACTTTAAAAATCCTGTTTTTAAGATCAATTACGAAAATTTTGAAAAGTTTGACATGTTAGAATGTTACATATTAAAAAATTATTTGTTTTTAAATATCAGAAGTTATCTTCGTATTTAATTGTTAACTTTTTAGATTTACCCTACCTNAAGTTTTGATAAAATTTTCGATGTTGCAATTTTCATCGATAATTTTCAAAATTCGCTATAAAATTAATTTCTTGAAGGATCCTTGTGGAAATATCACCATTTATTAATTAAAGTATATTCTTTTCAATGCAAAAAGCCATTTTGAAAAATCACTTTTAGTTTTTGAGAAATAAATTTTTGAAATGATCGACAATTTTTTCGAATTTTGCAATTTTCGCCGATTAAGTTCTAAAAATTCGTAAAAAATTGATTTCTTGAAATATGAGTATGAAAATTTCCCAAATTGTTAATAAAAGTGTCCTCTTTCCAATGAACTAATCCGTTTTGAAAAATAACTTTTAGTTTTTGAGAAAACAATATTTGAAGTTTTGATAAAATTTTCGATGTTGCAATTTACATCGATCTTTTCAATATTCGCTATAAAATTAATTTGTTGAAGGATCCTTGTGGAAATATCACCAATTAGAGTATAATCTTTTTAATGCAAAAAACCGTTTTGAAAAATTGCTTTTAGTTTTTGAGAAATAAAGTTTTGAAATAATCGAATTTTGCAATTTTCGCCGATTAAGTTTTCAAAATTCGTATAAAATCCAGTTCTTGGAATAGGAGTATGAAAATTTTCCAAAATTTTAATTAAAGTGGCCTCTTTCCAATGAATTAACCCGTTTGAATTTGAAAAATAACTTTTAGTTTTTGAGAAAACAATATTTGAAATTTTGATAAAATTTTCGATATTGCCATTTTTATCGATAATTTTTAAAATTCGCTATAAAATTCATATCTTGAAGGATCCTTGTGGAAATATCACCAATTATTAATTAAAGTATCCTCTTTTTAATGCAAAAAGCCATTTTGAAAAATCACTTTTAGTTCTTGAGAAATAAATTTTTGATTTTCGAATTTTGTAATTTTCGCCGATTAAGTTTTAAAAATTCGTATAAAATCCAGTTCTTGGAATATGAGCATAAAAATTTCCCAAAGTGTTAATAAAAATATCCTCTTTCCAATGCACCAACACGTTTTGAAAAATAACTTTTAGTTTTTGAGAAAACTATATTTGAAGTTTTGATAGAATTTTCGATGTTGCAATCCTGTACATAAAAAGGGAAAAAAACTTTATAAGTAAGATATAAATATACGGAATAAAAAAAAATAAATTTTATTGTTTATTTTCGACATGGTTTAGGTTGATACGGCGCCATATAAACTTCCCTTTGTCCCGCACAAGGTGGTTTCTCCAACTTTTCTTCATCTTTGTCATAACGTGCCAACAAGCGTTTTAGCTCAACATTTTGCGTTCGCAAACACAAAACTTCATCATTCAATTTCCTCCGATCTAAACAATCTCTTATTACCCAACTTTAACACTAAACCATAATTAATTTTACCTTTCAACATTTCGTAATACTTCTGCAATCCAATAAACAATCCATGCCACATTCTCATCCTACCCACATTAAAAAACGTTTTATATTTCATCCAAAATAATTTTATATCATCATCGCTTAATAATCTCGATAAAGTTTCGTGTCTATCAATATGAACCACCCCGGCCCCTTCCAAACTAAATTTGATACAAAATAAAGATTTTAATGAATTAATTTATAATAAGCAAAGTTAAATTAAACCTTGAATTATCGTTGAAATAAGCCGCTAAAAATTCTCTTAAAGCCCTAATAACGTACGCTGGGCTCACTTGTAAGGGGTGATTAAATCTGCACATAAATCTCGTGCTATGCACCGATTTTCGTAACGTTGTAATCGTTTGTGTATCCCCTTTTTCCGATGGAACGGAAGGCGCCATACATTCATCCGTCGTTGTTGAACTTTCACTTAAAGTGCTATCACTACTATCTTCTATAGCCACTAAGTTATGGATTATGTTTGAGATAACATCTTCGGGTTGAGAAACGGTTTGTTGGATACGTTTATAAAGCGGTTCTTCAAGACTTATTGTTGCTAAAAGATAAATTTGTAATTATATTAAATAACAAATTAATTTATTTTTCTTACAACTTGTGTTCGTATCGTCTAAAGCTGTGGTAGAAAATTTCTCTGATCCTTTAATTGAGGGGGTTCCCGATTTGGCACAAATTGCGCATTTAGCGTAAGGTAGAAAGAAATAGCATAATTGATCTATGTTTTCTTGTTCTTTTATTCCTAGGGCGGTGAATACGTTATCGATTTGAACTAAATGTTGGTTGTTTATTTCGTAGGGTTTTAATAACTCCTCGAGACGCTTCTCCATTAAGAACCCGCTCCTTTCCGAGATGCGATCCAAAATATGCCTTAAAAGTCGTTTGTAAGCCCGTATATCTTTGGGGGGTTCATGTTGCTTTTTGGTTTCACCTTTTGACATTTCGGACGGAGTGCGACTTGCTTTTGATTTTGTTACGACTGAAATTAAAACAATATATAAATAATTATCAGGGCACGGAACTTGATTAAATACCATACTGTTCAGTGGGAAAATAATAATTTTTCCGTTTTTATACATAATTGTACTTAGATGCTTAATTAATAGAGATGTAAAAATTTTTTATTAAGATAATTGATTCAAAATCGAAATTGAAACAAATTTTATTTAAAACATTTTTTGATAAATACAATAATTAT